AAAGAAAAAAGAAATGGATTTAAAAAAAATACTCATATTTGAGAATGCGACCTTCACTACAAGATTTTTCAGTTTTTTGGTCATCCGTTTTTGGCCGGAAGCATCTGTTTGAATTTGTTTACGTCGCGTGACTTCCATGCACACCTTACGGCATATTAATATATGCTCTGCTCTGGAAGCCCACAAGCGACTTTTTACTACACTGACATGTCTTCTTGTTTTAATTTGAAGCATTTCCAACAAGCGACTTTTTACATTGTTCATAATAGAAGAGTTAGTGGACCTAAGTATTGACCATTCTTTACACTACTTGGACGTGCTTAGTCACTATCAAATTCATTGGAAAGTTGTCCAGAAAATTTTGTCCATAAAGAATATATTCACATAAACTCTTCTTAGATAATTAAAACATTTTCACGTTTGATTCATATATTTTCAATATTTCAGAAAAAGGCAGTTATCGTCTCACTTGTTATTGTGTTTCGACAGTTTGTCCCAGGAACTTGTAAGACACTGTCAATTTTCTTTCTAAACTTTTATTTTAGTCAATTACTCTTGTTAAACTTTTATAATCTCAGCCCAATTTCCCTTACAATTAGATTTTTGAATTTTTCAACTTGACATTAGGTCATTTTTGTCACATGTTGTGCACATGAGAAACTTTCGACAGTAAACAAGTAATTTTGTCCCTCACTAAGGATTAGATGGAAGGGAAGAAAGGTAGAAATTGTTGTAGTTATGAGTTAGGGACAAAATTACTTTTTTTCTCAGATGTCTCTCACTTGGCCAACATATGCATGTACAAAGATAGATAAATTGTTAGATGAAAAGTATGAGCATCTAACGATAGGGGGGATTTTAAAAATTATAATAGCAGGTAATTAGCTAAAAAAATAAAGAGCTAGAAGCAAAATAAGAGATCACACGAAAAATCACTTTCAAGCCGCAAATTCTTCTATCTCCACACATGATCCAACTACATATCAAGAATGATGGCACGAAGCCTTGCATAGAAAGAAGTGAGATACCCTAAACTCTTGAAGAAACCACAACCAAATTAACCTGCAAAATCTTAAAAAATCCCATCATAAGCTGCAGGACTCGAGTTACCCTTAGCAAGGCCCTCCATATTCATTTTGACCCGAGGATACAAGGGAGGATGCCAAAGAACGAGAATTATTGAATGAGCTTTCAACGACTCAACCGATATCTCAAGAGAGACTAAGTTGTTTATCCAAAACACCATGGATATGATCAGTGGTGAAGTCCAGAATTATCGAGGAGATCGGCAAAATTTAAAGGGTAAAATGTTCCAGAAAATATAGACAATCATTCAAGGTCTAAGACTTGGTATGCAAGAAGATTGGACAATATTTCATTCAACTAAGTGACTTTACTTTATTGAAAACCATCTATAATATTCAAATAAGGATTTTGACTAACCAGAATATTCGAATGAGGATTTGGACTACCTGAAATATTCGAATGAGGATTTGGACTACCTGAAATATTCGAAGGAGGATTTGGACTAATCGGAATATTCGAAGGAGGATATAAGCACCATTTCTTATAGTATAAATCCATTACGTGTGTTTGTATAATGAGCAAGGTTCTAACATATAATATATAAAAATTGATAGACTTTCCTAAATATTTTGGTGAATATGATAGTATGAGATAAAAAGTTTAAGTGATTACGAGATGTTTTTTGGAAACTCGTATGGATTTGTAGTGAATTTTAAGAAGAATAACTGTGTCAAACATGTGGCCTAAATATTTCAAATAACTTGACTGAATTGAATATGGCGCACGCAGTGTAGAAGCAACGACATCAACCTACATTCAAACATTTCATCAAACACTTTCTGTGCAAGGTTAAAGGAGCGGATTCCTGATTTTTCATGGGGATTTTTTATGACTAGAAGGGTGATCACCCATCTTTGCTCTAATGTAGCTTCGCCCATGGACATGACTATGAGAGAAAACTCCAACTTGCCTAATTTAAGGTAAAGTAAACGACAAAGGTGACTAACCACCACGGGGCGGCCCAGTGGTTGGGGAAGAATTTCAAGCCCGTATTCCACACGGCACGTCTTGGGTTTGATTTCTGGCTTGTGAATGACACGATGGTGGTCAAGGGGAGGTTGAAATGCCTCTATGAGTCTTCTCGGCCCCTGAAAGGGTGAACTGCAATGACGAAGCCACCAGACGGTCCTTTAAAAAAAAAAAAAAAAAAAGAGAGAACGAGAAAGGCGACCCACCATTTGGACTAAGTTACACAATATATGATATTATTAAGAAAATGTTCATTGTCATCATTTGGACTAAGTTACTTAGTAGGACAATCATAATCATAAGATATTACATTCACCATTCAAGCAACTTGAATATGAGATCTCCTATTTATAAGTAAATAAAATATTATTAAACTGTAGTATAGTGTCTACAATCTTATATTGAATTAAAATAATTTATATGGTTATCTAGAAAACAAAAAGTAAAGTCCATATTTTCTTCCCAGTATGGGTTCTTAACCCCTCAAAGATGATAGATGAGAGTTAGGCTCAATTATTGTATCCCTTCGTAAAGAGCATTTCCAAATATCTTCCTTATTTTGATCAAGGCAAGACTTCATTCCAATCACCAACTGTGTATGTTTCGGTCCTTTCTCTTTGAAATGTTAGAGGTACAAAATGTAGATCCACATTCCCCCCATTACATTATTATTTTTGGGAAGACACCACTAAAATTCATTTGTTATTTGTTGTGTAGGTGTTATATATTGTCTATCATTACCCAATAGAAATATACATATTATGCAACCACCAAGATTGAATGGTTTGAATATTAATGAATGAAACATTTTGAAAATTTCAAAACATGATTCCCCTTGAAAAAAAAGAAAAAATAAAATTCATTGGCATCGCTAGTTGGTCAAATTGGCAAAAGTAATGTTCATCTCTATAATTTGTTTCTTTGATGATATCGGATTATGAAGTATTAAAATGGCGAGAGTGACATGATTCATTAATTAATAGGTCATTTATTTGCCACAACAAGCAAAAAGATCCAAATCAGAATCGCACATACAAGATTAAGTAGTTAAACTTTATGATTGATGGACTTGACAACTACATACGTTTTACATACATACGTACGTACATGTATACGTATGTACATACATACATACATACCTACTTAAACTATAAACGAAAGAGCTAAGTATTAGTTTGGTACTGAGTTTAAAAAAAAAGCAGGTATCAAAAAAAGCTAGAAGCTTTTTGTGTTTGGTAAACATTCAACTTCAGTATTTTCTCACATTTTTGGGTGAAAAAAAGCTAAAAGTTCAAAGCAGCAAAAGCTAGCTTTGAAAAACCGGCTTTTTTTGCTTCCACAGCTTTTGAGCAAACCTAATTTGCAAGAGGCGCTGAGCCCTTTAATGAAACTTTCAAAATGAAACTTTCAAACACCCAAAATGACCTTAAACAATTAAATAACTACACATAATACCAACTGGAAAACGTCGCCGACTTCAATTGGGAGGTCATCCTTGTAGATCCCGCCACAATGTTGTTCACTCCCAGCTTCAACAATCACCGTTATTGACCTTGAATTCCATACCGTAGGACGTTGTTTCTGCCTCTATCTTTCCTCCCATCTCTTGTCTGTCCTCTCTCACTCCCATGCCATCAAAATTGCGTTGAGAAATACCACCATTTTTTTCGGCAAGGATCAAATTCGGTTTTGGCATCGCAGATTTTCCCAGATTTCCCAGATTGCACCACTTACAAATGACTGATCTTCGTATTTTTGCAAATTAGGAGAGCCCAAATTGCCCAGACGGACACCAAAACTCAATTATTCCAAATACCCAAAATTAAATACAGGAAACTACTTCATATGATCAAATTCACACTATACAATTTCAAAAAGAAAAAATGATTAGTCTCGGAAGAAGAAAGAAACCAGCATCCTGGAGTGTTGGCCATGCCCGATGCATATAATGAACTCCTCGAGTAGCTAGACCATGTATGTACTGCAAATCAGATGACAGGTGAGAGAGATTGAGAAAAATAAAAAAGAAGAAGACGGAGCAAAAAAAATAAAAAATAAAAAAAAAACTGAGAAAATTGGGGTTGTGGGGGGAGACTTCTAGAGAGATGCTTTTGATTGTTGGAAAGTCTGGTTCAGTGGTGGGGTAATGGGAGAGACTACTCGATGCAGATGGAGAAAATTAAATTAATGGCACATATAATATTATACCCTTTTTGGTTATTTCACACAGTCACAGCTGTTTTACGTAAAAGTTTACCAAACATTATAATACTACTTTTTTCTTTTCTTCCATAAACACTTTTACAAAAAAGTTTACCAAACACTCTGCTGCTTTATTTCATAGCTGCTTATTCTCACAGCACAGCAGCAGCAGCAGTTTTTTTTTCAAAGCACAGTAATACCAAACCAGTGCTAAGTGTCTCTACATACTTTTTCTTTTTCGTAAGTAACTTACAAATGTTTAAATGTCGTCATCAAGTTTTAGATACACATAGAGGCTTGAGAGTACATCTTGTCTTGTCGAAGGCTAGATGTACTAATAAGCTATAACTTTTTTTCAAGGATTCAGATCGTTTATATTTTAGTACATTATCATAGATTATTCTTGCAAAAAGTTAGCTAAAAATATCTAAAACTATTAAGATATCCAATTGTAGTAAATAAAACACACGAATACAGTTCTTTAAAGAAACATTAAAATGATTCGAATAAAAAAAAAACTAAAATGACTACTATTTAGTTATCCAACTATCATATGCTTTCGGATTTTTGTGGCTTTTGGTGGAGATAATATTTGAAGAAATGACTAACGGAGATCCATTGGGAATTGGGTCCTTCGAGAAATCCCAAAATAAGCTTTTTTGACGGATCTCTCAATGAAAGGGATTAGATATATGTATATGTGTGTATCAAATAAAGCACAACCTATAAACTCTGAATTAAAAGCCTAAAACGTCATAATTTTTTTTTTCAGCCATTGCCCTTAATGGAAACCCCATTCTGTTAGAAATCAATTTTCCATATTTTTTTTACAATTATGCCACTACCACCGACAAAGAAGCTCACATATGTTATTCAAAAGGTGCCTACCCAGCAGACAAAGATGCTCACGATGTCGTTCTCGGAGAAAGCCAATTTCGACATTCCCCAAAAAAGTATCTCTGCCTGCTATCCCGATCCCTGCCTCCTCTCGAGTGCCTGAAGGGCTTTTCCTGCTCGGCGTCCTACGGTGGCGACGACTTGTACCTCGACGGCTTTCTCTTGAAGTGCTGATCGTCGTCGCTCGACTCATACTCCATGGAAGCAACACTGATCAGTCTTTCTGCTTCCAGTTCCGCTGCTCGCAGCCTTGGCCGTTGAAGACGAGTTGTACTCGTCGTAGAATCCATTCGCCAAGGACGATGATGACTCCTTGTGATAGTGATGTGCCGACGATTATCCCCACCGCCGAAGTAGCAATGGCAGCAAAAGCAGTGGAGGAAGAAGAAGGCCTTCCGCTTCTTGCTCACCTCTCTCTTAGGAAAGCTTATGCGAGAGAACGTGCTTGCCTTGTGCTTCCACTCCGCCGCCGCTTTAGCCGTAGCAGCTGATGCTGTAGTTGATTATATATATGCAAAAACAAGACATTGTTATAAATAGGCAAAATTTATAGAGAGATAACCTTTACTCGGTGAAGGAACGAAGCAGTTGCAGAGTAATATACCGACACAAGCTGTTGCAGAGGAAGTAATGTATATTATTGCTATTAGATATATTTCTCTTTTCTTTCTTCTTCTCATTTACTCATCTTTGCACAATTGAAGTGCTCTATTTATAGAGCTACTTCAATGGAAAATTACAAAATATTACTATTTAGCTTATGAGTATATAGTATACAAATGTGATACTTTACTATACACATTACTATACACATGTGGGCAAACATACCCATTATTTACAACAGACATTACATTGTATTGCGTTTCACTTTGCGAATAATCATATATAGCTACAGCTTTCACAGGCTAAAATGATCTTTTAAGATTTAAATTAGTTCAAAATTGGGACTATACTAAAACAATTTACGACAGGAGCATCTTAAATATCTCATCGGGTTAAAAAAGAAGCAAAAATTATCAGAAATAAGGATTAGACACAAAGGAGGGGCAATAACTTTCCTTTCATTTTGCGAACCCCATGCTAATTATATATGATGCAGGAAAAGCTAAGGGAGTCTCTGGGAGAAGGGGGATGATAATCTGGGATTCGTTCAACCAGGGGCAACGGAGCTCGCTCTCATCGCTAATCGTGGATTCACTCACACAACCAAGTCAAATGTTTAATTTTAGAAGGAGAAATCGCTCTCTTCAAATGCACAAGGCAAATACAATTTTAATTCATTCAAGTCTGTCATTCAAGGCTTTCTAGTACAATATTTATAAGCGTTTACAAATTAATAGACTTTAAGTTTCCATGACGGCCATACAACTCCCAAGATAACTTAACAAATTCCTAAGTAATTAAAATACAAAACCTTTATTATTCCAAAGCATATTAATGGTTTCAAATTGTTTTCTCCAAGTCTACCTCTCGCATCAGAATCGCTTAACCAGGGGGGACGGAGAGCGAGGACGGAATCATTCACATCTCTACAGGGATATAACCTGAGAATCCACGATTAGTGACGTGAGCGAGCTCCGTTGCCCCTGATTGAGCAAATCCCAGGTTATCATCCCCCGTCTCTCCGAGACTCTCTTGGTGATAGAAGCATATTTATGCGACTTAGTTGGCTTGTTCTTGTGCATTTATGTCGTGTTTCCTTAGTTATTTTAATGTTTAAAGTCATTTTCGTGTGTTTTCAGATTTTATGGACAAAGTAGGCAAGAAGATGCATTTTGGAGGCCTTTGGAGCATGTTTCGGGCTTGGAATGGATAGCAAATGCATGGGCCAAGTGGATAGACGAATTTGAGAACTAAAGAGGCCAAGAATATGAAGAATTATGGTCCAAAAGATGAAGAAAACAGCCCAAAAATCTGTCGCCCCAACTTGCATTCCTTGCCATGCAAACCACATAGAATTCCCTTTAGATTCCATGCCATGCTTGATCACTCTTGTCCCCTACATAATTTCTAATTTCATGCTTCAATTCATTTAATTATTACACTCAATTGCTTGATACCTCTTGTTCCCTTTACTCATTAGATTTTAGACAACATTTACATCCATTACATGCACCAATTGATGCTCCATCATTCACATTTGGAATCGAATGCCATGTGCAACACATGTTGTTGCACCTTTGACCCATTTGTTGACACATTTCACCTCCCTTTCCATCTCTATGCAATGTACACAATCATTCATGCTCCCTAGCTACAACACCACTCCATTTTACCCTTCACACTTTGCATCATTACTTCATTTTCACCCTTGGACCATTGCACACCACACACACAAATTGCCATGCATTTCATCCTTAACCTAACCTGATTTTCTAAGGTTTTTGGGGCCTATAAATACATGTTTACACCCCTTGGCAAAGGGTTCACACTCTCATATTCATCATTCATCACAGAAAATTCGTCCATACAACCTCTAGGTAGCAAAACACCCCAAAAACACCATTCTAGTGCCTAGAAAACATAACAGCCACTCCACCTTCTTCCACCCTCTTTGCCTAGCTCTCCACCACCCTCCAACCTTCAAACACTCCTCCACACTCACCCTAAACCCTTCCATACCATTCCCCATCCATTGTACATCATAAAACTACCCAAAATCTGTCCATAACCCAATCTGCCGCAAGCATAGGGAAATGAGGAATCTTGGATGCACTTGCTACCAAGTTGGAGCATTTTAGGTGTTTTCTTTCCTTTGATTTTAATGTCTAATTTTATGTATCTTTGCTTTGTGAGTATGAGGAACTAAACCCCTCTTAGTTAGGGGGTGATTCGAAACTATGTTCATACTTGCAATATGATTTGATTACATCCAGTTGTGATTCATAAGTTGTGAATTCAATTTACTTATCCGTTCATATAAAAACTAATTTGTGTATGTTGGTTAAGAGTGCACGCTTAATTTTCATGCATGAATTTGACGCTAGAATATAAGGGAGTTTCACCTAATCGTTATAAACTTATATTCACAAGTAGTGAAGGTTGCTAGTCACAATCACGTTAAGTAAACTCTTGGCATAAGTTTCATGCAAATCATAGTAATGAGTGCCTCGTCAATGCTTATGTTTTTCATAGAACTTAATGATTCTTGCTTGTATCTCTATTATGCAATTCATGTAGGGAACTTGTAGGGAATGTTTTGGGTTGTCGTATGCAATCATCCAACCTAATAACTTGTGGAAAAAACTGAGGGTTAATTAGTGCAATTCACGGTTAATTTGGGGCGTTGAGTATTCATAGCTTATCGAAAAGCAACTGGAAATCGTTTTGTATGCAAGTGTGACATATGTGGAGAAGAACCTCCTAGCTAATCTTCCATCCATAAGTTTCATTCAAATTCACTTACAATCTGTTTTGTTTTACAAAGTTGTTTTTGTTTTCAAATTCATTAAAACCAAAATCCCCCTTTTACTTTATTGTTTCAAAGTGTTTAATTTCTGTTTTGGTTGTGTGTTAGAGTGTTTTGATTCACCCAAATTTGTCTAAGAATTTGTTTACTTTGTTCTTGTCTTAATTTAATTATTTTCGTCAAAAATCAACCCCATCTTATTTCTTTGAGTCATATTAATTAGAACTTGTCTTAGATTATGTTTTTAAGTGTTTTAGTTCATTAGAAAACCAAAATTTGTCCAAGTTTGTGTGAGAGTCCCAAAATTGCCCAGATTGTGTTTTTAAGGTAGTTTTGAGTGTTTAGGGGCTGTTTTGAGTCTTTTGGTTTGTTTTAGTGTTTTAAAGTATAGTTTTGCATTATTTGAGTCTAGTTAGTGTTTTAAACTTTGTTTTTACGTTTTCAAGTGATTTAGCAATCCCTCCTAATCCCCGGCCTAGAACGATCCCTACTTACATACTTTACTACAATTGATAAAAAGAGGGTTTAATTTGTGTGTTTAGTTATTTTACGCATCACTTGGCTTTTCCTACGTCAATATATAAGCAAAAATGACAGTAGGTTGTATTGCAATCAAGTACAATATATGTACAATTATAATTTTTTTAATCAAATCTTTTCCCAAGTTGTGATCGTACGATGGATTTTTCATCCCAATTATGCAGTGGAACCCTCCTAGTAATTAAAAAGCTCTACAACTTTATAGCAAGGGTTGGGTTGGATTTGGGTATCTCATGAAGAGAAAGTGAAAAAGAAGGGAGGAACAACTGGGTATCTCATGATGAACGTCATGGGCATGGGCATCACCACCATCATGAAGGTGGTTGTTGCTCATATCATGGGATGCATCGAAATTGGAAAAGGCACTATTTCTAAAACTGAACAAAAAAATGGTCCAAGAAAGAGACACTATGACACTATTTATGAAACTGGATCAAGAATAAGACACTATTTATGAAACTGTACTGACTATTATATACTATTTATGAAACATGACCAAGAACTAAACAATATTTATGAAACATGACCAATAACTATGCACTGTATATGAAAGTGGACAAAAACCTAGGCACTATTTATGAAACTGGATCAAGAATGAGACATTATTTATAAAACTGTATCAACTACTATACACTATTTATGAAACATGACTTAATAACTAGGCACTATTTATGAAAGTGAATCAAGAACTAGACACTATTTATGAATCTAGACCAATAAATAGTATACTACCGTTTAATTTCATAAATAGTATAGTGCCATTCAATTTCATAAACAATGTAGGACGGTTAAGTTTCATATATAGTATAGTACCATTTAGTTTCATAAACATTGTCTGTGATGGACGCGCGAATCCCACTCATTAGGTTTTTTTTTTAATATTAAAATTGTGTTAGTTTCATTAAAATTTAAGTTATTTGTCATATGTATTAAAATTTAAAGGTTTTTCATTAAAACTTAGGTTTTTTTCATCAAAAAAAAGTAATAGCATGATTTTTTTATTAAAATAAACTTAACCCAAGTCTTTTTCATCAAAACTTTATTTTTCTTAACTTTAAAGAAAAGACTTCCGTAAACTTTTTATTAACATAAAAAAATCATCTAATAACTTTATTTAATAAAATGGCTTAAACTTTAGTAAAATGACTTAATTGTTAAAAGGACAAAAGTTAAATATAATAAAAGGTTTTTTTCATCAAAAAAAAGTTATAGCATGATTTTTTTATTAAAATAAACTTAACCCAAGTCTTTTTCATCAAAACTTTATTTTTCTTAACTTTAAAGAAAAGACTTCCGTAAACTTTTTATTAACATAAAAAAATCATCTAATAACTTTATTTAATAAAATGGCTTAAACTTTAGTAAAATGACTTAATTGTTAAAAGGACAAAAGTTAAATATAATAAAAAATAAAATAAGTAATAAAAAATTAATGCACGGGACTTTGCGCGTCCTTTACACACACTCTCTCCATCATTCACTATTTCTTAAACTGAACACTAATTATTTCTTAACATGACTATTTTTTAACTTAAACACTAACTATTTCTTAAATTGACTAATTTTGAAACTGAATGTGTGTACTTCAATATTTCTTAAATTGAATATTTACTATTTTTGAAAAAACATAGCACATATACTATCACCAATTTTAAACTGAATACTACTACTATCATTATTTCTTGAACTGAAAATTGACTATTTCTAAAACTAAACTCGGATACCACACTATTTTTTAAACTAAACCCAGGTACTACACTATTTTTTAAACTAAACCCACGTACTACACTATTTTTTAAACTGACGATTTTTAAAACTAAACCCGAGTTGGCATGCGAGCATGCGCTTTGCTTAGTTTATTTTTTGGGAACTTTGATGAAAAAGGCTTCGACAAATGAAACTGACTATTTCTTAAGTTGAGCACGAATATTACACTATTTATTAAACTGAACATGAGTACTACACTATTTTTTAAACTGAACATAGGTACTATCACTAAACAGAACATTATACTATAACTATTTCTTAAACTGGACACTTAACTATTTTTCAAACTATCTATTTTTGAGACTCAACATCGGTAGTACACTATTTTTGAAACTGACTATTTCTGAAACCAAACACGGATATTGTTTCTAAAACTAACTATTCACAAATATTTAATTGTGACAGGGTGACTTTAGTTCTAATCGACAAGTCCAGACAAAGAAAACATGTCAAAGCTTTTTGTTTCAACTAATGCAAAGAAAAGATGACTGAAACAAACATTAGGGTTTTGTTGACCCTAAAAATTACTTAGCCTACGTGGTGCGCATACCGAATAGCTAATAAGCTAACTACGTTATTCGGTTGAATGCAGGGCTTGCCAACTCATCGGCCGAGCTAGGTTAGGGAGTGAATGAGTGTTGATGTGGCGTTGGACGCGCTGCTGACTTCTAAATCTTGCGATTGTGGCCAAGGAAGGAACACGTCTTGACCTTCCGGTTCAAGAACCTAAAAAGAAGGATGCTAGTTCTACGAAGTTCAATATCAAATTCGGCTTTCAGTATGCAAAATATCGAGTAACTTGGTAACACCTCACTTCACCAAGAAGGCTAATGAGATGACCTCTTCCAACAAGGACTCGAAAATCCTTGTTGACCGAGAATTGGATAGATAACCAGTTGGTCTTGAAGCAGTGTTGTTTATCCAAATTGAAGGTGCTCCTTGGTCGATTGATTCTACGACTTTAGTGTTATTTATCCAAACTGAAGATGTTGGCAACAATGCTGTTTATCCAAACTGAAGGTGTGTTGGTGAGAAAAAGGAAAATAAAAATCTCAAGGTCTTTGAGAGGTTTTGCTTAGAGCAAGAGTTTGCGCATGGCAGTTTTGTGTGTTGATTTGGAGGGGTTTCAATGATGCACTCCCCTCTCTATTTATAGTAGCAATTTCCTCAATAGTCGAGGTAGAGTTTCACTTGGACTAGAATTCCTTATCCCAATCCGAATAGATCTCGGCCAATCCTGACTCTTGCAGGACTCTAAATCAAACTCTTTAATCACTTAGATTTAGCCTTTGATTCTCTGCATTTTTTTTATTCGAAGCATTCCTAGTTTCTGATAATTTCTTGTTGCATCAGGACTTGATTGCTTCACCCTTATTTGGATGGAACCTTCTCCTAATAGGACTCGGCAGAAATCCAATGGACCAGGCCCATGATGGGAATATTCCTGACACCTCATACTGGACTGAGAACAATTATGGGCTACATCATTGCTATTAGCAACCTCAAAAAGCCTTTTACCACTTAGATTCTCAATGTTTGACTTCCAATTATTGGATTGTAGTTTACTAACAAGTTTTAATCCAAACATCTGGCTATTACAGTTCTTTCCATGAGTCGTCAAGTGAAATAGCTCCCTTAATAACAGCAATAAAAAATGTTAATCCTCCAATTGCAGTCTTGACAGTAACACACATATTTACAAAGACCAATATTACTAAGGAGTTACACTTATTCCCCTAACAAACCAAGAAGAAATTCTGGAGAGATCCTCTTACAAGACAAGAACTCTCCACTAACAAACCAAGAAGAAATTCAACTAACCTTCGCAATAGGTCTTGGCAAAGTCAGGTAGACGCATCAATTAATTGGAAGGGAACTGCAGAGCTACAAATATATATATTATCTATGGTAGCATTAACCATTTCTCTCTTGTTTTCCCGAATAGCCTCGAGTTTAAAAGTGCAAATCCATATGATCAAATTAAGAAAATACGAATTAAACCCATAATTCAGATTTCATACGTAAATTAAGAGCGCTTGAATAATTGAATTTCAGCTTAATACCTCAACAAGATTAATCAAAAAACAAAAACTCGTGATTTTTTTCTTTAAATTCCGTTTCTTTCTAGTTTTCCGTTAACCAAACACAAGAACAGGATTCACTTTTTTATTTCCCCATCTTAATCTCAATTTTCTCGTCAACCAAACAAAAGATTGAAATCAAGTCGCATACCGGTCCACTTAAGCTCAGGTATTGAAGCAGCCACCGGTACCCAAAAGTATCTCAGAAATTGATGGGGTCGGGTGGAGGCCATCTGCCGTACAATACGCAGGTCAGCGTCTGAATGCCCCTCAGCAGCCGCCCTTCGCAATGCTATAAAATAATAGTATTATACTTCACATGTCCGATCGAATTCTCCGTTCTAAATTAAAATTAAGGAAACAAAACACAGATTTATACATGCATAGAAAACTAGCTAGCGCTTGATGAAAGTAGGATTTGGCACCTAGCCACTGTCTCTCACTCCCTCTCTCGTCTGACAAAAGAATAACGAAATTTATTTTGTTTTTTTGCATTAATTTTGTGGTTTTTATTTTCAACAGTGACGCTTTGGAAGGGTATTTCAAAGGGTTGCGAGGGATTGTAAAAGGTTTGTGCAAGGCAGTGTCAAAAGGCTTGGGATTTGATGAAGAATGCTACGTAGACAAAGCTTTTATTTCCCCATCTTAATTAATCTCAATTTTCTCATCAACCAAACAAAAGATAGAATATCAAGCTGTATACCTATCGACTTAAGCTCAGGTACAAGAGCAGCTACGGGTACCAAAAAGTATCTTGGAAATTGATAAGGTCGGGAGGGAGGTCCTTGCTGTCAGAAGACGCAGGTTTGTGTCTCAACGCCCCTCAGCAGTCGCCTTTTGCAATTCTTGCACCTCAGGTACAGCGCCATAATCCAATTCCGTAGGTTTCTTCGACGGAAGCTAGATTCGGCAAGGGCGTGTCGTCTAGGTCGTACAACGACATCTCCGCTTCTTTCCGAAGCGAGATCTGCATCTGTTTATCACATGCATCAGGATTTCCATTGCCATTTTTCAGAGTTGGTGGTTGTCGATGCGTGTGTTGGAATTGTGGTGAAATGAAAAGATCTGAATTACTGTTCCGACTTTACTAATTGTGATGAAACGAAAAGATCGTTGGAAAGGGAAGACAGAGAGGAGTTGTATCTTAATTTAGTTGGAAGAGAAAATTACCTGGTCAGTCGGAGAACCAGAGAATCAAAATGGGAACTCATTGATTTAACGGAGAAGAAGATCGGAATGGGCTGATGAAATGACAAAATTACAGACATGAATCTAGAGAAATTTTTTATTGTGATCGGAATACAGATGGTACACCACGTGTTTTTATATAAATAATGAAAAATTATATTTTATAAGTTATTAACTTTTTAACACATATATCATATCATTTGTATAGTAACACGTGGTGTATCACCGCGTATTTCGTTTACATTGAAAAATCTCCCATGAATTTGAACTCTATACACGTTTCCTAAGCGAAACGGACCAAATAAACAGGAAAGATTTGAAGTCATGGGTAAAATGGGAAGCTCAATAAATTACATTTTTTGGGCTAGTCTTATTGGGCTGGTTTACTATTGAATTTTGTTATAACCATTAAATAAAGTTATTACATGATTTTTTGTTAACATTCAAAATTTTCACTCTTTTAATTGGTTTTCGTAATTTTCCATCACTACTACAAAACTTTACCTCCCATAATATCCTTTGTAGAGTCTTAGAGTTTTGAAATCGTAAGCTCCATGGAAGCCTCATGCTCAAATTGAAAGCACGATCACAATCCCTTCAACCGAGTACAAGCAATTGCATGTACGTATCAACTCCTCTACATCTCCACTCTCATTTTCTTCACTAATATCCAGCTTCGTTCTTCGTTTCTGATCGCTTAGAGTTTCTGGTTCCATACGGTGCTTTTCAATTGGCTTGAATGTTGAAACTTCACCTACTTACAGTGACTGATTCGCTAGGGTTATCATTCAGCAGGATAGGTTAGGTTTTTCTCAATCACATCTCTGATTTTGTTTCTTTTGTTAGCAGCAGCAAGACAAAGACGAGATGCTTGTGCATCACTCTAATTTGGTCGAAGAAGCCTGTCAAAGCTTTAATTTTTAATAATTTTTCGATGATTTGATGTTTGGAATTATTAAGTTTGTGTTTGCGGTGTGATTTTGAAGCTTTTAGTGTTGCATAATCTATCTGGTGTGATTAAAGTGATTGCATTTTCTTTAGGGTTTCGATTTTTTTGTTTGGAAAAATTTATGGTATTTAGTGTTTTGGTTGTAGCTGAACTGGAGCCGGCTTGTACAAGGAAATTGGAGTTGTTTTATGGTTTCAGCAATGTTGCTGATAACTTTGTATCATGGTTTAGACATTCAGTTAGTTTTGGAGCAGGATATGTGCGGATGATCAGATATTCAGATTGACATTCATTTACTTTTGAAGTTTGTAATATGGTTTTGACATTCAATTTATCTAATAAGCTCTCCATTTTCTATTTGTCTGCTATTTTGGATTCTCTTTTTTCTTTCAATTTAAGAATTTAAGTGGTAGTTAATCTACTACGTTTTATTTGCACAGTTTCTGGTTTTTTTTTCTTTTCAAAGTAGAGTAATTCATTAAACAAAGTCCAAAATGATATAAAATAACTTACAATGACCCTAAAAAGGACTAGCATACAAAAAGAACACAACTGATGCAAATAAAACATGAGTAAGTAGTAATTCATCTAATAGTTCCCTTCTGCAGCGAGTACAAAAATGATAAATAACATAAATGCATACCGGGTTTCAACCCAAACTCCTAAATGGCCCAACCAATAGAGGCTTAAAAGTGGCTAGTGGAGAAAACCCTAGAAGCCTATGTGAGGGATGGCTAGCCGTAGAAGACCGAAACCCAGAGACAGCGAACCACACACATCGCCAATTTCATGCCACAAGACAACAAATGCTCCCTAGTTTATACCATATACAGATATCCAAAAGCCTCAAATGATAAACAAAGCTAAACCACAAACAAACAACATTAGGGCAACACCAAAACTCAAAATTACCGCCAAACAACCTGCAAACTTGGTTTCACACACCTTCAATTGAATGAGCGACGATTCACTCTCGGGATGGGTAGTAGACACAAGAGCTCGGTTAGAATACTCAATCGAAAGCAGCCATTTTGACAACAAATGAGAGTTAGTAGGGCCAGGGTGGAAAGGAAACGGTAAAGGATAACGGAGAGGTTAGGGAGGACTGGGGTGGAGTACATTTTAGTTGGCCACTTTCATTTATTTTTTGTAACACGGCGACTGGCTGGCATCATTAACTGGGCCTTCGAATAAGCCCCTCTTTTTGGTCCCAAAAACAAAAGGTCTTTTTGTCCAAGAAAAACATAAGCCCTAAGCCCTTTCTTTTTTGCCTCTTTATTTTGGTTAGATACTGTTTGAGATGAGCTTTAACTAGTTAGTAAGTTATTATAAAGTTAATCATTGGTTTTGACGTATTCCACAATATTATATAGGGTTATTATACAAAATGGTCTCTGAGATTTGCATGATCAATAGAAATGGTCCCTGAGATTGTCCACCATACATGATTTTGGTCATTCCGTTAAAAACTATTTTGGATAATTTTCAAAGCTTTGTAACTCAATCGTTTCTTAACCAAATTTGACCCATAATATATCAAAATGAAGATAGGAAAGTGTAGAATAATATTATACCTATTTGGAAGCCCAATGGTTATCGGAGATGGACAGAAAATAGCCTGAATGTGACTGGTCCGCGGGAAAACTGGAAAACTCGCTGGAAACTGGGTAAACTTTAAACGTTCATAACTTTTTCAATACTCAACCAAATCTAGTGATTCAAAAATGAAAATAATACTTCTTGACGAGATGAAAAGAATTGTACCTTTTTCAAAGGCTAACTCGTCGTGGTTTGGTCGGACAATGGCTCGAAAGTGGCTAACCATTTTTGAGTTAGCCACTTTTGAGTAGTTTTCTAGCCAAACCACGACGAGTTAGCCGTAAAGAAAGGTGCCATTTTCTTCGTCTCGTCGAGAAGTATGATTTTAGTTTTGAATCACTCGATTTGGTTGAGTATTGAAGAAGTTATGAATGTTTAAATTTTACCCAATTTTCGGTGAGTTTTCCAGTTTTTCCGCGGACCAGTCACCTTTCAGGCTATTTTCTAGGCATCTCCGGCAACCATTGGGCTTCCAAATAGGTATAATCTTGTTCTACACTTTCTTATCTTCATTTTGATATATTATGGGTCGAATTTGGTTAAGAATCGATTGAGTTACAAAGCTTTGAAAATTGCCCAAAGAGTTTTTAACGGAATGACCAAAATCATGGATGGTGGACAATCTCAGAGACCATTTCTATTGATTTTCAATCTCAAAGACCATTTCTATTGATCATGCAAATCTCAAGGATCATTTTGTATAAGAACCCTATTATATAATATGAGACGATATTTTTTGGTCATCTTTCAAAGATTATACCCACTAAAATTCACTCCAATTGAAAACATTTTACTTATCTAATTGTGACCAATTAAATTAATGAACTCATTGTTGTCGATAAACAATGAAATAACAATAATCAAACAATGAAATGATTTTCAAATTAGGTGAATTTATTCAAAAACAATATTTGAATAAAGACCTAAAAAAAACAAACAATTCACTTTAAAAACCAGCTGCCAGAGGGGAGGAAAAAGCAATTTTGTTTAATGATTCAATTTTTCTTTCAAAGTACTCTCAAAATCTAAGACCTTTCATGATTGTTTAATGATTCCAAGAGAGTTTCTTCTTTATTTGGCCACTATTTAAAAAAAAATATTCGATTTGGTCACTGGAGTCCCTTTCTTTTAGAAAGTCAGTTCTCAATAAAGAATTCTAGCTTCAACTTGGGTTACAACTTGGAAATACAGACTGAAGACGTGTTTTATTTTTTTTTCCTTTTCTAAATCAAGTGGGGTACGTAAAGGTGGGGTGCGGTTGAGGTAGATAACATGTGTTTTTTTTTTTTTAACAAAGGATATTATTTATATTAAGATGAATAATGTGGATTAAGTTTCACAATAAATTAGTAATAATGTGGTAGATAATAAGTTTATACGATACAAAATTAATTGGACCGAATCCTTTGTCCTCAAAGTTTTATATTTTTTTTTCTATCCACTGGTATTTAAGTTTGATTTTTTTTTTCTTTCCAAAACAGCTGATCATTCTTACAAGATGAATCATTAGAAATTAAAAATACTTGACATGTCAACAATATGGACTATGTACATTATATTTCACGTGTCAACAATATGCCGTATTTCAAACTTCACCTAATTTTGTTTGCTCTTGTATCTTTCAGAAAATTAATGTGATATTTGGAAGTGTGACATTATACGACTTTGTATATGACATGGCCTACGAGTCAATTTTTATAAGAAAATTTAGCCCCGACTTTGCCTACTTTGCCGACTTGGTTTTGCATGGATAGTTCGAATTTTAAATTACGATGACGAACTTGTATTGCGTTTCACTTTTATTATCTGATAGACCTACAAAAGTAAACAGTATGATACATTGCTCTCGTTCCACTCTGTTTTATGAAATATTTTTTCTCTCTCACTTTTGCCACTCTATTCTAGGAAAGATTCTCTCTCTCTCTCTCTCTCTTTCTCTCTCTCTCTCTCTCTCTCTTTTGCCTATTTATAACATGTATTTTATTTCCTACAATCCGTTTGTTCTAGTAATTTCTTCTAGAACATAAAACAAAAAGGAAAAAGAAAAAACAAATTCTCTTTAAAGAAAGGAATATTACTTGAGCTTCCAATAGTGAGTCATTAGACCAATGCAACCGAAGGTTCTAGAACCCCAAACAAACCCCACATTCATAGAAGCCTCTGGCAACAGGTCCTTTAGGCCATCTCCAACCTGATAACAAAAGCTCTTGTATGAAGGAATCATGGAGATTTGAAGAAATTATAGAGATGAAGGAAGCAAGAAAGTATGAAGAGCTAGAGAGAAAGCGAGCGGAAGAAGAAACAATAGTTGTATTGAATGAATCAATTGTAATGGTTTACATCAGTTATATCCTAACAATTCTAACTAACTAGTCTAGGTGACCATCCTCTACATCTCTGCTTATACCTCCTTATCATACTCTAACCATTCAATAATTGCCACTTGTAATCTTGTATTATATTTCAGTTATTACCCCCCCTCAATCTCATCTAGGATGTCCAAGACTAAGATTGATACAATGCTTGACAAATTGTGGACTATGCAATCCTTTGGTGAGTATATCAACAACCTGGTTGTATGTGGAAACGTAATGAACATTGAT